TGAGGACCCAAGCTCAGGTCCTCACGCTTGCACAGCAAGTACTTTATCCACTCCCCAACTCCTAAGTGCTGCTATTATATGTGCATATTTATGGAGTAGAAGGTGGGCAAATCCAAGCCCTATTTGTTAGGCAAGCACCCTCCCAACGAAGTTATATCCCCCCCATACATCTGACCTTTAGGTTGTGGGGGGGGAGCACATGTGTATGCTTACATGATGGTGAGGTATACAGGGACACAAGTCACAACACTTGTACCTTTCCATCCTGTTTAAGACTGGTCGTCTCACCACTGAATAGGCTAGGCTAGCTGGCCTGGGAGCTTCTGGGGGTTCCCCTGCCTCTCCTCCTCCACAGGGGTAGGCTAGGATTACAAACACTCATGTTTCTGTGTCTCACTTTCACATGGGTTCTGTAGACCCAAACTCAGTTTGTCATGCTTTCATGGCAAGTGCTTTTATCTACTGGCGCACATTCCGAGCACTACATCTGCTTTTTTGTTTGCCTGGTTTTTTGTTTGTTTGTTTTTTGAGATGGGTTTTTCTGTGTAACAGCCCTGACTGTCCTGGAACTCTATCTGTAGACCAGGCTAGCCTTGAACTCACAGAGATCCACTTGCCTCTGCCTCCCAAATGCTGAGACTAAAGGCGTGCATACATCACCACCTGGCTAGTACATCTGCTTTTTAATTAGGGTCATCAATATCTTTACCCAAAGCAGCAATTAATTATGCCATAATAATTACTCATAGAACAAATAAGATGTTCTTAACTAAGTATGAGACCCTGTCTCAAAAAGGGGGGTGGGGACAAGTTTAAAAGAAAAAAGTAGGAAGAATTGCTTTCATCCAGGGGCCAGGAAGCAGCTAAGTTTGACTGGGACCTATACTTCTGCATGCTCAATCACTCCGTTCCCCTGAATGATTGGGTGCATGTAAAAAAATGAACACAGGAAAACTAAGGCTGGAAAGATGGCTCCAAGTCCCGCAGCAAGCTCCTAATTGTTTTCCTTCCTCCAATTCTTATCCCTTCCATTTCCACAGCCACCAGAGTGATTTTTTACATTGCAGATCTGATTAAAGTCCTTTTTCTCATCCACACTCTTCAGTCATTTTCAGATGAAGATATTGCTCAACTGCTTAGCATCATTTGCAAGACTCATCCCCTTGTGTCTACCTGCCGTCTCCACAAACCTTCTGTAGCCTCTCAAATGCAGCATCCTCTCTGCCTTAGTTTTCCCTCACCCCATTTATCTCTTAGCAACGGTTCCATAATTTACTCCTTTTATCCAGATAGCCAATTGTCTTGTCATTACTTTACAAATTTATTGTTCTTTGTCTAAAGAATATGAAAGCACCATGCTTTGGGCATTTCTTCAGACTTCATTCTCTTGTGAACATCCCCATATACACGTAAATTTAATAAAACTTTATGCTTTTGCTCTTATTAATCAGTTTTTATACTAATTGGGTTTCTAGATCCAGCCCAAGAGCCCACATAAGAAATAAGAGGGGGTCGAGAGAACCTCTTTTCCCTCTACACTCATTTAATTGGTAAGTGATGGAGTCATGTATGTCTGACCACAGATCCGACATTCTTTCAGCCTCACTGTCCTACCCTACCTACTTTAGACAAAGAACTGTGTCTAACTGATGAGAATATCCCCTGTGAACAATTAAAGAACAATGGAGTACTGAACAATGTCCATGGTATTGAACTGAAGAGCAAAGGGGGGTTCAAAAAGGGAGAGGATACTATTTGGGCCGGCCTGGCTGAAAGAAAAACGTACTTAGAACCAGCCTTTGAACAGGCCCTGGAGGAAGAATGAGACAGAACCAGGAGTAGTTGAGAGGATGAGATGATACATAAGCAAGAGAAGGGGGGATGGAGTCAGTGTGAAGCTTGTCCTATTGGGAGTCATTGGAGCCTTTAATCCCAGCACTCAGGGGCAAGGGTAGGCAGATCTCTGAGTTCAAGGAGAGCCAGGGATGCACAGAGAAACCCTGTCTCCAGGAAAGGGGGGGCAGTGAGGCTTGGGTAAAAGACAAGAGAATTGCTTGAAGGGAACATAAAATAAAACTTGGTGAGATAATAGAAAGATCAGGAAGAGAGAGACCAAGATTCTTTCCTAGAGAAGGTGGTCCCCGGAGGAAGGCCTACAATAGAGTCAAGTTCTGCACACACTTCCCATATTCAAGGCCACCTGTGTGCTGTGAGTGAGGGAAGCTGAAGCTGGGAGAGATGCTTTCTGCTAGTGTAGATGGTTCTGCTCAATGTCCTGTCCAGAGACGGTCTTTAGGGAGGGAAAGAAATAGTCACTTGTGTTCAGCCAGTCTCTTTCTGTAAGTCTTCTGCTATGTGGGCTGTGGTCATGACATTCAAAGAAAAGGAATGTTTTTTTTTTAAGTATGAACCCTGAGCTGGGCATTGATGGAGTACACCTTTAATCCCAGCACTCAGGAGGCAGAGGCAGGAAGATCTCTATGAGTTTGAGGCCAGCCTGGTCTACAGAGTTAGTTCTAGGACAGCCTCCAAAGCAATACAGAGAAACTGTCTCGAAAAATTAAAAAAAAAAAAAAAAAAAAGGATGCACCCTGAAGGCAGCCTAATATAGACTATCTCATTCTGCTGAAGCCTGAAAAGGTTATCAGAGGAGACAGGAAAAGATGGGAGAAAGGAGAAGGAAATGTCAGCCATTATTTACCATGTTGGAGAAAATTTGAAAGCTGACTTGTTTTTGTTTAAAGTCTGGCTTTAGGTCTAAACCACTTGTAAGAGAAAACCCTATTTCAGATGACAGGGTAGCACTTTTGAGGACACCCTGGGGTAAAAACTGGGTATGGTGACTCATACCTGTAATTCCAGCACTTGGGTATTCATATACTTGCTACAAGCTCAAGGTCAGACTGGGAAACGTTGTAAATTTCAAGTCATCAGGGGTTACACAGTGAGAGCTTGTCTGAAAAAAAGGAAATCCAAAACCAAAACAAATAACAACCCACATAACACACACACAAGACAGGTTGAGACTAGCTTAAAACAAGGGAAATGTTGATTTATATCGGAGTCCAGGTATAAGATGGTATTCAGGTGAGACATGATCTAGTGGCTTCTGTGTTACCTATTTGTTTGTTGTTGGGGGTGGGGTCTTAGTAACAACCCAGACTGAGTTTGAACTCGCTATGTAGTCAAGGATGACCCTGGATTTCTCATTCTCCTGAGTGCTAAGATTATAGTTGTATACTACTACCCCAGTGGCTAGGAATTGAACCCAAGGCTTTGTGTGTGCTAGGCAAGCACTCTACTGAGCTACCTAGCCCCATTTTACATATACTGTCACTTGTTTTGAAGAGTTAGCCTGCATATGAGTGCAAACCACTGATGTAGTCCATGCCTCTCACTTTACCAGGAGAGAAATTGAAGCCTGCCAAAAAGAGCAATTTTGTCCAGAGTTGTACATCTCCTTTAATGCTGAGCCAACACTAGAAACACAGTGGTTGGGCCAGTGCCCACTCTCAACTAGGTTTTGTGACAGCATTTGGTGGTGAGTTTATGACAGGCAGTGCCCAGTGACGAAAAAGATCTGAGGTGATCAGAACAGGCATTGGAGCCACACGGGTGGGTGAACCCCTAAAGGTTAGGACCGTCCCCTATACTCCTGCAGTGTAACACACATGCAGAAAACATGGTGCCAACCAGCTGGAGTCTCTATTGCTGCTGCATTCAAACACCATGACCTGAGCGACTTGTCGAGGAAAGGGTTTATTCCAGGTTACAACGTTCAGGTCTTAATCCGTCATCAGAGGAAGCCAGCACAGGAACCTGGAGGCCGGAACTGCATCAGATGCCATGGAGGAGTGCTGCTTACTGTCATTCTCTTCATGGCTTACCCATCGTACTTTCTTGTAGCACCCAAGGCGACCAACCCAGGGGTAGTACTGCCCCTCGTGAGCTGGGCCCTCCCACATCAATCATCAATCAAGAAAATGCATCACAGGCTTGCCCACAGGCCAGTCTGGTGTGGGCAGTTTCTCAATTAAAGCCCCCTCTTCCCAAATGACTCTGACTTGTGTCACATTGTCATAAGACTGGCCAGCACACCAACCAAGTGGAGAGTGGAGAGGAGAGGCTGGAGCTGGCCAGACGGCCACGCAGCCAGGAGTGGGTAGGATCAGGGTGAACAGACTGTTATTGTCTTCTTTTCCACAGCACTTGTGTCCCTGGTGGAGGGAACCTTGGAAATGCAGACCCAGGCTTTTCCAAAACCAGAGGGAAATGGGGCAGCTGGGTAGGGAGCGGTGGGGATCCCATAGTGACAGAAGGCATTCTAGGTAAGAGAACTGCTAAAAATCCATCAGCCCCTTCAAACTCTAGTTAGCAAATTAAGAAATGCACTTAGCTTAAGTTGCCATACCCTAGCAGAGTCTGATCTGTGTTTGTCCTCTCTGGGTCAGCAGGGAATCTGGTATGAGATGACAGCCACTTGTCTTCAGGAGGTTTTATCCCTCATCCCTCTCACTGAGCTTTAGTGTGTACTCTCTTTACCTTAGTAAGACCTCTGCCACTGTGAGGTACTTCTTTCTGTGTGTGTGTGTGTGTGTGTGTGTGTGTGTGTGTGTGTGTGTGTGTGTGTGTGTGTTTTCAACAGCTCTGCCTAGGCCTAAGATCTCCTGGGACAAGATCTACAGAAACAAGAAAAGAAACAGAAAGAGTCAGTACTCCACCCTCTGGACAGCACAAACCAACACAATGCATTCTTGCCCTCTTTGATTCAATCTCCCCCCCCCCCCCCCCACACACACACACACTTCCTTGTCTTTCTCTTCTCCCCATCTCTTTTCTGTCATCTCCCTATACCAACATCCCTGCCCTCAGCTTTGCTAGACTTCTGGACCTGGTGAGATACGTGTGTAGCCAAGTCAGCCAGCCAGCCCAAAGGCACATCCTTCTACCACCACCTCCTCTCCGAACCCACCGCCAACCACCTTCTCTGTCCAATTTAGGCTTCTCGGGATGGATGTCACTCGCCTACTGCTGGCCACCCTAGTGGGCTTCTTATGCTTCCTTGCCATCTACAGCCACATGGTACCTGAGGAGACGTTCAGAGATGACAGGAGTCTGAGGAGCAACTCCTCTGCAAACTCAAGGGATTTCTCTTCTGTTTCTATCGTGGGTAAGTAGCCTGGCCTGGGACCCAGCCTCTAGGTCTGACCCATGAGAGCTGGTACAGCAGGTCAAGCCTGCTGCCAAGGCTGCCACCGGCATAGCTATGGCTCTTTCTTGCTCATTCCTAGGGAAATGCAGTGTCCTTGAGTCATTGCATTGGAAAAGCTTTACATGCCACTTGAATTTGGTATGTCATAGATCTGAAGAAGCCTCAAGTCAAGATGCTTGGTGGGCTTAGTTTAACTTAGCATTTATAAACTTAATGAATAACAAAACAAACTGTAGGAAAACTGTGGAATAGAACTAAATCTGCAATAAACCACCCTTGCCATAGGATGTGAATTTACAAGAGCATCAAAGTCTGGCATTGGAGATCTTGTGGTTTGATCTCACCTTATCATAAAGGGTATGGGCCACGGATGAGGCACAAAGGCAGAGTGCATGCTTAGCATGCATGATGCCGGGATCCAGTTCCTGGAACCAAACTAAAAGTGAATGTGTGTAGGTTCTGTGAGTTGGCTCTCAGCTTTATTTATATCTTACACCTGACAAACTAGAGCTTGCTAACATTAGTTCCTAATGGGCCGAGCCAAAATTCAAACGACATCGAGTTATACACATAAGCTCACAACTCTGTGTTGACTGGCATTTTACTGGGCACAGGAAGATGGTCTAGGGCAGTGATTCTCAACCTTCCTAATGCTCTGACGACTCTTTAATACATTTCCTCATGCTGTGGTGACCCCCAACCATGAAATTATTTTTGTTGCACTTTCATAACTGCAATTTTGCTATTGTAATGAGTGGTAATATAAGTATTTTCAGAGGTAGAGGTTTACAAAAAATGGTCACAACCCACAGGTTGAGAACTACTGGTCTATACGCATCAGGGAAGTCAAAGGAGGGAAAAGAGACACCAACATGCCTTAATCACCATTGATATGTCAGACTTTTAAAGATGTTTTTCTTTTCTATAAATGGGTGTTCTGCCTTCATGTATGCCCATGCTCCGTGTGCAGGCCTGGTACCCTCAGAGGCCAGAAGCAGATGTCAGAGTCCCTGAAACAAGAGTCACCATGTGGGTGCTGGGAAGTAAACCTGGGTCCTCTGAAAGAGCACCAAATGCTCTTAACAGCTGGGCCAGCTCTCCAGCCCCATGTCAGACTTTTTGTTTTATAAATATACCTTGCATGATAGAACCCTTTTTTTTTTTTTTTTTTTTTTTTTTTTTTTTTTTGTAGATGAGGAAACTGATTGGGAAAAGATGACACCGTTGTTGTATGAATTAAGTCAGGCATACCTAGCTTTGAGCTGAGAATTTAAAAAAAGGTAACACAGATGTGTCCAGTAACAAAAGGCCGAGCCCATTCCCAGAGACTCACAATGCTCTTACACCTGCATGGTTAAAGGCTAAAACAGAGGCCCCTGTGGTGATCAAGGGCCAGAAGGTCGAAAGATCAGGAAGGTCTCTAACAGGCCACTGACAGTTCCCACATCCCTCTTGGATTTCCTCTTTGCCTTCCCTGGGAGCACACTGCTCTTAGGTCTGAAGCCAGGCTAATAAGAACCTGCTGGCTTGATTCCCCTAATGTGATTCATCCCACAGTCCCTTTTTCTCCTCCACTCTGAGGCTTCCCAGAGTCCCCCTGCTCCTCCCTCTTCATGACTCGGCCCCCAGAAACATCTGGCTTTGCTCTTTCTTTGAAGCACTGAACAAGAAATCCAAGAAGGTCAGCAGAAAAGAAGCTGAGAAGGGGAAGAGATCATCCAAGGTAGGCCTGGGGGTTCTCACTGTGGGGGTGGGAGACCCTAGCAAGCCATGGCTGAGAACTACATGTAAGATAGCTCCAGGCCTACATGAAGTAACTGAAAACTACCTAAAGACTTCTGGCCTAGAGCCCTGAGGCAGACTTTCATAGAAGCCAGAGAGCCTGCGTTCACTGAGCAAAACAGCTACCTGCTACAAAAGTTTCCGCTGCTAGTTAAGCACCCCCACCACTTCCTGAAACTCACCCATTCTTTCGGATATTTACCTCAACCCCAACGGCTGCAGCACACTCCTGCTGTGCTTTCTTTTTGTTCCTCCTCCTCTGTAGGGCCTTGTGCAAGCTAGGCAGGCGTTCTACCCACCTCCCATACTCTCAGCCCAAAGCTCTTTTCAGCAAGCTTTTGCTGTGTAGTGCCCGCTGCCTGTAAATCACTGCTCCTCCTTGTCCACTGTTCAAGTGCTGAGATTACAGGTCCAGGCTACTATGCCCAGCTGTCTCGCCTGTCTGAAAACCAGAACATGTCAAGAATAGAAAACAGAAGTTGGGTGTGGTGGCACTCCCAGTATTTGGGAGGTGGAAGCAGTAAGATCAGGAGTTCAGCGCCACACCAAACTACACGCCAAGTTCTGGATGAGTCTGAGCTGCACAATCACTGCATCTACAGTAAGAAGCTCAATGAAAATAAAACACTGGTAGAGAAGCCTAGCAGCACAGGCTTTTAACGCCAGCTGCTTAGGAGACAGAGAGAGGACACTCCGTTCAAGGGCTACTGGAGCTATGCGGCAAATTCAAGGTCCATCTGGGCAAATTAAAACAGTCACAAAATAAACATTTTAAAGGGGTGGGGATATAGTAGAGTAGTAAAGCTTGCCTGTAACAAAGCCCTGAGTATAATTCCCACTAGGGAGAATGTGTGTGTGTGTGTGTGTGTGTGTGTGTGTGTGTGTGTGTGTCACAGAGAGACAACAGAGATTTAATGTTGAAGTCAGCTGGATGTTATTACTTGCTAAAGGCTCTGAAGTTTGCTTTGTTAAAAGGCAGTTAGACCTAAAGTACATGTGCCATACCAAACCAAAATTAGAGCTAGAATTAGAGCTGGCAATTGTTACTTTCAACAAGCAGTCTAGATCAATCTAGCAAGTCAGACAGGAAAATGCTTGAAGGGACAAGCAATTTGGAAAACACTGTTCTACAAACCCCCAAAATGGTCTACTTTCTTGTGAGTATTCAATATATCTCTGTGCTTTACTACTTTCCTCAAACATTGGTCTAGTTTACTAAGAAATGCATTCATTAAATATATTTACTAAGTATTTAAAACAAGGACAAAAAAAAAAAAAAAAAAACCAGTGACTAGTCTTCCCTTGCGCCAAAAAAGAATGTGTTGGAAAGCAATAAAGACATGTCAGCACCAAACAGAGCCTTTCAAACTAAAACGGACAGAAAAAGAATGCCTTCTCACTAAGTGGTTGAGGACCATTTAACGTTTTTGTACCTACCACCTAAGACCACACTGCCATGATGCAGGTTCCCAGTTTGATAAATACCAGATTGAGGCATTGTTCAAACTCACACACTATTCACACACTAATTGGACCAACTGTAACCAGAGCAGGGAGGACAAAAAAAAAAAAAAAAGTACATTCTAGGTGCTGGGAACACAGCAATGCACAAGAGATTACTGTTGTGTGGAGTTTACATCAGTATGGTAAAACCAGGCCTCGAGTAAATTAATACACAAGTTTAAATTTTTAGATGATACACACTGTGAAGAAAATAAAGCACGGTGAGGATCTAAGTGCATTTAAATAAAAAATCTAGTAATCTAGAGTAGCGGTTCTCAACATGGTATTTCCATTACGTTTCATAACCGTAGCAAAATTACAGTGGGGTCTCCTAAGAAAGCGGCCAGATCGGATCTAGGTAGCTTGACGATGAAGGAGGTGCAGGTTGGGGTGGCGGCCAAGGACCCACTAGGATGGCCTGTGCGTTATGAGAACAGATAGGTAGCACGGCAGAGGTCTCCAGCCGCAAACCTCCACAGATGAGGACGCGCGGAACCAGCGTAGCCCCCTCAGCAGCCCTCAACGTCTTTCCTACAGAAAAAGGTCTCGAAGAAGGTGGCACGGCCCCCGCCACCCACGCCCTGCGTGGCTACCCGAGACAGCTGCAAGCCGCCTGCACCCGTCTGCTGCGACCCATGCGCCTCCTGCCAGTGTCGCTTCTTCCGCAGTGCCTGCATCTGCCGCGTACTCAACCCCAACTGCTGAACGCGCTCTTGCGCTGCGCACGCAGCTTCCGGGACGGGTGACTGGGCGGGGCTTCAGGGTCAGGCTAAGGGGAGGGGGGGGTCTCTGATGGGTGGGGCTTCGTGGGTGGGCGCAGCCTATGGTAGTGGGTGGTGGGTGCTTTCCGAATACAGGTGTTGAAGGAAACCTAATGGAGACTAAAATCAGAATACAATATCTTTAGACTGCTGGGAAAGTATGGCTGTTTCTTTAAAAGAGCCGAAAGCTTTCAGCCCCTTTACCGAGCTCTGGTCCTTGCAGAGACCCCGAGGATCTCGCGTGGCTGGTACCTTTGCGTCTTGGCAGTGGTCACGATGATGCCGGACTCCTTCCAGTCCCGGCTGCCTCCAGACTAGGGGAAAGGGACCATTAGGGAACGGCTTTCCAGTATTTTCAACATTCTCCTCCTGAGGAGGAGCACAAAAATCCCAGACATGCTAGAACTGCACAGGCAGTCTCAGCCGGGTGGAGACGGGGTTGTGCGTTTGTTGTGGGTTTCTAAAGCCAGAGGGTCTGCGTTGAGTATCCCAGAACTTTTTAAGTCTCCCAAACAAAGGCACGAATGAAACCCACTCCTCCCTTGCTCCCAAGGGCACATAGATGTTTGGATCTTGAGAGTTTTCCTGCGCCGGACATTAGTCCCCATGCATTTAAAAATTATTATTCTGATAGCCTAGAGTTTGGGCTCCTAAAGAAGCAAAACTTTACGCCTTCCTTGATCTTCACCCTAGTTGGCCGGTAAGAAAGCTGTATTGGAGTGGAAAGAAGCGGCAGTCACATTAAATTATCAAGGACCTGTTGCCAAAAATGTTCCAGACTGTTCCCTGAAATTCCATAAATTCTCAGTTTGCAAGGTTTGAGGTGCAGCGTTGACTTTGGAAGAACCGAGGGAGGGAGAGCACCGGGAGAAGAGTTTGGGGAGCCCATTCGGAGAGGAAGGAGCAGCAGGGAGAGGGCAAATAGAGGAAGGGTTCTAGATAATGCCATCTACTCGGCCTCTGCTGGGGCGCCTAAGGGGGAGGTGCTGAGAAGAGGACTCACAGGGCTCCCTAGTCCAGCCTGAGCTGCCCCCACCCCAAATTATTACAGCAAGTACCAAAAGAAAAAGGGCCTTGCCTCAAAAAAAGAAAAATTCATAGAGAGACCTTAATACAGAAATATATGCAGCTCTCTATTGGGCTAGGGAGGTGAAGACAGGTGTAAGGTCTGAAACAGGTGTGACCAGCTTTTCAGGCCTTTGTGCCCGTTTGCTAATGTTCTCTTTCAAATGCTGGCAAAATGGCTCACAAGCCTGCCAATCTGAGTTCAATCCCCAGGACCTTGTAAAGGTAAGAGAAAACAGCCTCCTCAGAGTTGCCTAACTGCCACAGTACACATGCATCCTCATACACACATCACACACACAATAAGTATAATAAACATAAATTTCAGTCCCTTAAAGCACCCTTTTTGCCTCGGGCCTTTTTCTAGGTTGTACTTTTGGCAACATACTTACTTACCTAGTATGGAAACAAGGAGGCAAATACCTCTACCCAGCCCCCACCACAGAGCACAAGAAAAGACAGGTGCTCCAGGCAAAGCTGTTCACACAGGCCTGACCCTGGGCAAGTCTTTATGTCCGTCTCTCTCATTTACTTATCTTTAAAATGAGGAGTAATTCCAGTTGTTCTTGGTGAAAACCCAGGAAGTTATTTCTCAATACCTAAATACAGCACCAGCACACACCCACATCCAGGCTCACACACATCCATGCTCACAGAAAAGCTGCCCGTTGTTTGCTTTGTTTTCTGTCGTTTAGGCTGCAAGCCCACAAAGCAAGAACATGTTGTCCTTGTACCACAGCTGCTGCTGAGTAAATGTCATCAGTAATGAGAATATTGAGAACACATTGCAGCAACTGCTCCTGTGTTTGCTAGACGTTGCTCACCCACCAGGTACTATTTGGCTCCTGGCAGTGATTCAGGATAAAAAGCTGAACACTCCGCCAGTTTGATGTTGCTGCTGTGTGTGGGTTTGGTTTTGATGTTTTTGAGACAAGCATCACTATGTGTAGCTCTGGCTGGCCGTGGACTCATAGAGATCCCCTTGGTTCCCACTGCTGGGAACTAAGGCAAGTGCTACCACCCCTGCAGCCCACTAGTACAAAGCCATTGATTGAGTTACTGGATTTAGACAATGACACGGAAGACAAACCCAGGGGTTCACTCATTCAGCATATGGATTGGCCACCTGCTGTTTTCTGGGAACTGTAACTACTCTATTGAAAAACTCCAAATCCGGGTATTGTCCCTACAGAGCTTAATGGTTCAATGGGTCTGACCACTGTCCCTCATAAGAGGCAAGAACAACTGTCAGCCCCACCAACCAGTTTGTCTGTTAGTTTGGTTTTAGAAGAAAATTTGAATCACCAGATGTAAGGTTTTAACAGCTCACCCTTTACCTCATACAGCCTTCTATTAAATGGAAACAGCAGGGTTTATGTCAGAATTTGGTCCAGGTGGTTTTTCAACATGTTAACCTTTCAAGCATAGATTTAAACGTGTGTGTTTTTTATTGCAACTTTTTAAAGGCTTTGATAGTTTTAAAAGAAATTAAAGCTTATGATTTCACAAAAGCAGTATACTTCAAAAAGTCAGTAGTCTCAGAGGTAGAAAGCCCCAGGGCGCCAGATGCCTCAAACTGTGGACATTAGGTCAATCTAACTGCAGTCACTAGGTCCTGATTCTAAATTCTTCCATCTGTTTCAATGAGCACAGATGTGGACCACTACCCACTGACAGGAAATTACCCTTCTCCAAGGGGAGCTTTATAAAGAAACCTAGCTCCCAGGGCCAATTCCCATGTGTGGAGGGAACAGGGTAAGTGAAGAATAAGAAAGCGATTTGAGCCAAATTAGACAGACCATCTGTAGATTCATCTAGAGTAGACTTTTATATTTCTTCTTCCATGGACTAAGGGGATAGATGTGTGTTGAAAGAGATGGCAGGTGAAAAGAAAAGGATTTTGTTTTATCAAGTAAAATATTTAAAAATTGTAAAATGCTGTGTTCATCTCTGGGGGACTTTTCTCCTGGTATCTTGCAGAAAAACAGTAACTACTTGCCAACTCCCCCAGCCGAATCTGGGAGATGCATCTGGGAGATGGTTCCAGTGGTGCTGATGGTGTTGTTGGCGGCCTTCTTGTTGGGGAAGCTCAGCAAACACCCTTCTCGATGAGTCTTAAATGTTTTCACACCTTCCAGGCTCTTTAGAATTCCTATGCCTAGTGGCTGTGTAGACTACTAGAGCAACAGTAAATTACAGCTACTTTAGTCCACACTTGGCTTCCAGAGCAAACTACTGGCTCACTATTCACTACACCAGATTTCTAGTAAAATCCCTAAAGTCCTGAGTTTGAGTCTGGACCAACTTGAGTGCTTGTTCTTAAGCCAATTTGCAGAGTTGATCGATGAATTGATTGAAGTTAGCTAGCTGGATGCCTCAAGCTGGTCTCTGTCTCTTGGGATAGTTCTGAATCTCCAGGGTGAGAATCTGTCTTCTTGGGACTTCAAACCTCCAAGGCAGAGCTAAGTACTCACTGCCTGCTGACCCCCCCCCCCCCAAGAGTTCTCACTGCTATCAGTGGGCCCTGTAACTTTTCCTGGGTTTTAACCCATGTTTCCTCCAGCCCTCATTACTGTTCAGCTAAGACTTGGGGATCTCCCCCAACAACCTGACACCTGGAGGCAGAAGTATCCAGACCTACAGGGGGACTTCAGATAAATCGCTGAAGCTCTGGGCAGCCATCTCTCCATGTCTGAACACTGACTTCTACTTTAGTGATACTCTAAGGTACTTAAGGTTCCAGCAGCCTGTGGTCTTATAACTGGACCTAACACAAGGGCAAATGCCACACACTGGATCCTTAAATGGGGCATTTTTCTGAGAAGACCTTGGGTTGCCATCCTTAAACTCTGCCTTCTGTCTCATCGTTAGCCAGCAGATTACATAGGAAGGAAACACAGGCCTTGCCCTCTGCTCAGGTGGTCATTGTCTTCCAGAGATCTGTGATGTAGGGGCATCTCTCATTGCCCCCACTCTGTAGCAGGGGAGGACTGGCTTTCCCTCTTTTTATCGTCTCTGTGTATATGGGAGTTGGCATACACCAAGGCCACTGAATCTTGCAGTCCTCCCCCAGAGGCTGTCTGGACAACTTGTAGATGGAAGGTTAACTCATATTAGCAATGTGTGCAGCAGATTCCTTCCTACAGAATAGAGTAGGAACATGCTTTTATAAAATATGGTTAAGTATTGTGCAGATCCCAAGTCTTCTAAATGCCTTGCTCTCTCTCCCTAACCCCTGCCCTTAAAACTTGACATAGAAGTTGAGCATTAAGATGACAATCTGAGGTATTTTTCACTATACTGAGTGGGACTTGGGTCTTCTCCTTAACCCCCAGATCACTGCCCCACAATCCCCCAAGCCTTATCTTGTTTTTTTCAGGGTAGAGAAGCACAGTGAGGGCTAGGCCAGATGCTGCAGGAGCCTCAGCTGGTTCTTCCCTCATGAAACTTCGACAAAGAGCTGCGGGGGGGGGGGGGTGGCAGGAAATACATCATCCTTTACTGTGGGTATCTGGTCATTGTCACACCTGTGATAAGAGTAGTACACCTGAATACAAAACTAGGACTGTATGACCCAGGGGACAGCTTAGGGTGTATGGGACTCTTACATTTTCCATTTTATGATGATCAGTTGAAAAGTAGGTCCCTGGCATTTATTAAAATTTATAAATTATTTTCAGCAAAGTCATCATAAACTCTTATAGTTTCCACACCTTCAACTACATGTACTGCAGGGAGGGGAAAAAATTATTTAAGGGCCAACAGCCTAAGCTGGAATGAGCATTCTCAGTCCCTCATCCCTGAATGACCCAAGGGTTTGTTTGAAAGCTTTAAAACTTTGAGGAGCTGGGGCTGGAGATGCATGATTTGCTGTGTAAGCCTGAGACCTGAGTTTGATCCTTAGAACCCACATGAAGATGGGAACCAACCCCCAAAA